AATATATGGTGAAATCTTTCATTTTTCAGACCTCTTCAATGATTGAAATTGAGGTGGAAATGGACTCTGATGTCCTTGCTGCTGAATCAGCAAGAACTGCAGTAAGCAAAGCACCTTTGTCTATATTCCTTCCTTACAACCAGTTACACATTTGGCAAGATATAATTGAGTGATTTCTGTCCGCGGGAAACCATGTCAGAACAGATACAACAACTCATGAGGCATATCCCTTGTTCCTGTGACTCACACATGTTTTCATCATATGAAGTTGAGATCCTAAGAATAATTCGAGGTTTTTTTTTTTTTTTGTCCCTGTTTTTGGCTTTCGTGCAGAAGTGGAGGTTCCAAGCTGAAGCAAACGATGAGGCAGAAAGACTCCTTAGTTCACAACCTATGCCATCGCCAGCAGAAGAGATCAATATGAATGATCTATAATTCATTTGATTCAAGAATAGCATGGTTTAACATCACTATCATGTGGTCGTGGGGGATGACATGCTTTATTCAAAGCCAAAATTGGAGCATCTAATTATCCATCCTCTTGGAAGCAAATTTAATTTGGGTAGAAGAACTTTGGCAATGACTAAATTACCTTGGGATGCAATTCAATCTGTTTGCACAACTGAAGAAACAGAGCGGCTCGCAACAGCTGCTCGCTTCTATCACACCTAATAGCTTTTTAACAACTCACTGAGTAACCCCTGAAACTCGTATTTTCACAAATAGCATCAGTTATTTATGTCTCCAAACACATGAAATAATCTCATTTCCTTCCAGATTTTGCAATGTGAGGATGAAGAGCGTTTTCTGATTCCTTGGTGAATTTTTGGGAGAAGAAAGAAATATTACAAATATCTTAATAAAAATTTAAATTTTAATATGAGTCAAGATATTTGATGTATATTGTCAACCTACCAAAGACTACTAGTGCATCTTATGATTCTTTTTGGTCTTTTATTGACTATATTTTGGATTCTTGTATATGTAATTTTTTTAAACCAGGTGGATGGATAAGGGAAGTGGGAAAGGGCATGAAGGGCTAAAGGGATGGATTCTTGTAATATTATTCCCAAAAAAACAACATAATTTTCTCATTTTCTTAGCTTTTAGTTTTTTGTTTTTTTGGCTGGTATTGTCATTTTCTTTTTATTCACATACAAGATTTTTTTTTTCAAAAAAAAAAGAATTAACAATGAATGATATGGCAGAGATAGTTTTTTATTTTAAAAATTTTTTTTTATTAATATTTAAATTTAAGATTTTTAACATAAAAATAAAAACTTTTAAATATGTTGATTTATATGTATATATTTATTAAATATGAATGACAAAAGTTGTAATAAACT